TCTTCTCTCACCTCTACAGTAAATTTCAACGGAGATGCTACTCACAAGATAATCTAAGCAAACTCAGATGCATGTTGATAGATACTAACTGGGACCTATTTACAGAACAAACATTAAATGACACAATCACAAACACCACAGATTATCTTAAATTCTGTTTGGAAATATGTTGTCCTAAAGAAACATTATTCACTCGTTTTGACCGTTTCTCTTCTCCATATCTCAAAAAGCTCCGTAGAGATAAAGAACTGTTGTTCAAAACAAATGATAAGTCAGGTGTAAAAAAGCTAAATCCTCTGATAAAACTCGAAATGCACAGACTAAATGTTTTATACAACCAAAGATTTTTGTCATGTAAAACCCCTTCTAGTTTATGGAAACTTTTTAAAGAAATAACTAGCGGTAAGCGGTGTAATTCTGTACAATCTCTTAATGTTAATAATCTTAATAAGTCTTTCATACGCTCCTCTGACGATATCCTTCCTAATGATACAAATCACATAGACAATAATTTTAATGGTTTTAATACCCTTGATGTGCTTAAATGTCTCCGTTCTCTTAAGCCTTCCCAAAGCCTTGGTCCTGATGGCGTACCTGCCATTGTCCTCAGGAACTGTGCTGATATTTTGTGTTACCCTCTTACTAATATTTTTAATGCTTCCTTTTCCAGTAATGTTCTACCTTCTGCATGGAAAAACATTAAAATTGTCCCTATACCAAAACAATCTTCTGGTACCGATAGTAAATTTAGGCCTATTGCAATTACTTCTCCTTTTTTAAAATTGATGGAAAAACTACTTTTACTTTGTCTTGAACCTTCATTGAAAGCTTTTAATGACCCTAAGCAATTTGCATATAAACATGGTAGAAGTACCTTGGATGCTGCGGTTGTCTTATATCATAATGTTGTTTCTTGTTTAGACAAAGGTGCCAAATATGTCCGTGGTGCTTTCCTAGACTACACATCTGCGTTTGACTCTGTACCTAGGGGCCTTTTATTAAATAAGCTCTCCTTGACGCACACAGCATCCTGGGCTAAGAGTTGGTTGCATTCTTATTTTTCTGATAGAATGCAGTATACTGCATATAATGGCAAATCTTCTTCTGCTTTGCTTACAAAAGCCGGTGTTCCTCAAGGTGCCGTCCTCTCTCCCTTTCTTTTTTCTTTCTTCTTACATGACCTGCCACATTTAAACGAAACCAATTTTGTCAAATATGCTGATGATCTGACTGTATCACTGCCTATCACTTCTGAGTCTGACTGCTCCAAACTTAATAGCTTTTTGTTGGACATCAGCATGTGGTCTAAGTCAAATGGTCTTATGTTAAATCCTTCCAAATGTCAGGCAGTTAACTTTACCTTCAACCATCGACGTGACATACATGAACTAGTTAGTTCCCATGATGCCTGTAGCATAGATGGTACAGAAATTGAAACCAAATCAAGCATTAAATACCTTGGATTAGTTCTTTCCTCGGACCTTTCATGGTCATCTCATATTTTATTGGTCTCTAAGAAAATGTTTCGTCTTACCTTCTACATTAAAAAGTTAAGACAACAAGGTATCAGCCAACCTTTAGTTCTGCGATTTTTAAACTCCTGTATTTTACCCATTTTACTTTATTGTTCTCCATTAATCTTTCCTGGGCTTCTTAAAAAAGACTATGCCGTATTACGAAGGGTATTAAATGCTGTGAGTAGGGCTTGTGGTTTGCCACTGCGTGATCTCGCCAATACCATAGTCGAGAGACACGTAAATTCCTGTAAAAATTGGGCAAAGGCCGTACTGTCAGACCCTCTGCACCCTCTTTATTCACAATTATCCCCTTGTATCTCATCAGGTAGAACGAGAAGTCAATATAAGAAATTATATGCTCGTACCACTAAGTACAAAAATTCGACAATACCGTACTTAGCCCGTATTTTATGTGATGAAGACACTGTTAGACGTGAAACATATAAGTTACTATGTAATTAGCATAGTGAATCGACCCTTTCATTGTTCATCTTTCTGTAATTCTATGGTGTCACCCTTTCTATCGTTTAATTATAACTTTGCTATTTTTATTTTAGTTGTTATTACTATTATTACTATAATTTTATATTTTTCTCCTTATCCTCTACTGTAATTGCTACATAGCTCCTATAAAAACGTTTTGTTATCATTATTATGTATTAATTATTCCGTTTATCTACTTTTTTGTTTGTTGTTGTTGTTTTTGAGTAAATTAGATGCAATACTGTACTGAATGCTGAAAATTCCTTGCTGTATCATTAATACTGTTTTTGGAATAAAGCAAAAATTATTATTATTATTATACTGCCTGGTTAATTAGGGTAGGAAAGAAGAACACGAGTAGTTCTATCCTTGAACACCTTGTCACCTCTGGACATCGGGTATCCCGGCATGATTACTTCACAGTGTCACACAGAGTTTCCCAAGAAAGGATCACGACTTTATTGGAAAGTAATTCACTAAAAGTTGATAAAACACGCTGAAACTTCTGTAGTGTATATAAATGTTAAATCAGAATGAAGCTGTTATTACTGCTATCATCGAAAAAATAATAATACGAATATTTATACCTCAGCTAGTTAACTTTGCACAGCGAAATAAGTGGCATATGCCTCAGACTTCAGGAAAAAGAATTACAACCTTAGCAAGAGGATTCTGACTAACTCTAAAGACTGCACCCTACTTGCTTGACGTTTTTTGGACAATCGCATTATACTGAACTTGAATAGCATTGAATATCGGAAAACCCCTAAATATTTTATGTTTTCATTTCTTCACTGTATTGAGTAGAATCTTATAGTCATTAGGTATGCTAGCTGGCTGAATTCCCTTTTAAAATTGAAGTACATTTTAGAATAATGTGCACGCGAATAACGTCTTAAAATAGTCACTGACAAATTTTGAAGTACGTACCTATGTGAAAGATCTAGTGTATATGAAATAAAACCAGTTCAATGCACTCTACAAACGTCCTTATTTTTACTTAATTTTAATTCAATTTTGATTAGCCCGTAGAATGACTGGAGCGAAATGTTCGGCCTCTGTTGAAATGACACCTCCCTATGCGGAATCTACAGTGGTGTCCAATCAATTCACGAGAAAATCAAAACTGAATTTAAAATAAACAACAAATGACATCTGCTGTACAATAGGTGGCTCTTGGGGCCCTGGTGTTTGAAGCGATCGGTATTAAGCTCACGACCCAGAAGGTACTGCATCAACCAAATTTCTTCTTATTTTTGCTGTACATAAATGCCTAAAAAGAACCAAGCGTTAAGGATTCATTCGTGGTTGAATTACGTAGAAATTCATATTTTAAAGTTTCAGTAATCGGGCTCTTCTTTCATCTAAGTATTTCACTTCTTGACTGTCATAACGATTAAGCCACACGACATATGTATCACTGTGGGGTTTTGAATAAAATATAACTTGTCAGAATGAACATGAAACATGCTTTTATCAGGTTTAACAGTTACGTATTTCAACTTCTCGTAAGATAGCACAGTCAGCAAAATAACTCTAACTTGGCCTGTTTTTATGCATTCACGCAGACTTTTGCATTCCTTGACTCCTTATGAAGGCTGGGCTCTTATTGTATTTTAACTCTTTAATACTTTCAGTAATTCAACATTTGCAATGGTCACATTTATATTCAGCCTCACTTTTAACGGACTTGGATATCGTCTGGGACAATAAAAGCTCTCCCATCGAAAATTCCGTCTTCTCTTCTCTATTTTACGTATTAGTAATACTGTTGTGCTTGTGGTTAACGTTGTGGTTAGCTAACAATATAGATTTTATTAGCTCATTGGATTCATATTGATAACATTCTGCCAGGTCACATAACCAGTTTAACAAGGAATACTTTCCAAAATCACTGAAGAATTTTCACACAGATAGAGAATTCAAAACCATTGTTAATTTAGTCTGTTCTTCAATATACATGAGAAAATTAGTGCTTGGATCAACAAAAACATTGTGAATGGGCTATCACAGACCTTCATAAACAGGTATCTTCGCTCCATATTGAAGATTACATGGCCAGAAAGAATTAAGAACAATAACTATAGGGATGAACCAACCAAGAACCTATTGCTCAAAAAATGTGCTGAATAAAACGAAGACGAATTGGACACGCTCTGAGGAGACTGCCGAATGACATCGCGCTCCAGTGAAACTTGAATGGGGAACGATGAGTTAGGTGTCATTCAGAAGGTGGCTTAGAGGCTGTTATGTGTGAAGGAGATGAGAGACCATGGGAAATCATATAGCCAGCTAAAAAAGTATTCAGAGGACAGAATGAAGTGAAGATGTGTCTTTGATGCTCTTTGTTCCACTTAGAACATCCGATAGCCTCAAACAATAAGACGACGATTCCTGAACATAGAAGATTTCGACCATCAGCAAAATAATTGTTTCAGTGGAATCGTGGCACTAAAATTGAAACATACCTATCACTTGTGATTCATCAGTCATTGTTCCCTACTTTTCAGGACATCATGTACAACAATAGAAATTGGATTACATAAGTTGGAGATTTGCGTTACATAAGTAATAGAGGATTTCCTTTAAATAAATGGGATCGTTGGCCTCATTATCACTCGACTTCAACCAATGGATTCCACTTACTTGAGCCTGAACAACCGCATAGTACCATTAGCTCTCAAACAATATTCAAAGGTTTCATGTCCGGGAACATGAAAAATCTCTCCTGGAGAATTAAGTTCGAATAACAAGTAGGAAGACAAACAAGCCAATTATGAAAAAAATAACCTCTTCATTTATGTCCGTCAATCTCCTCACATAACAACATAATTCTCAACAAGATAATAACAATAATAATATGTACAATAAATAAAAAAAGCTTGTTTGACTTCCATTTTTTAAACATCGGAAATCTTTCCGCTTTCTCTTTCCTTGAAATCATGCTTAAGATTACTGAACAATGTTTAAACAATGTAATGTACACAATCTCCGTCAGCTTCAAATATTATCTTCATAATCTATGCTTTTATTTTCAGTAAAGTACGGAACATTTGTAGACCGATTACTATCTTCAATCCTAACACTTGCATATCTTCCATCCGCCAATGCATCCATTTTATTTCTCCGTGTAACTGGTGAACGATAACTATCCATTTGTTGTTGTGGATCATCACTTGATGTAGTGGGTTTTTGACATTCTATAATTTTAATAAATGCATTACGAAATGTTCGATTATAAAATGCATAAATTATTGGATTGATAGTTGAATTTAGATAACCAATCCAAAAGAGAATTTCTTGTAATACACTTGGATAAGGACATTTACATAGATTAGTAATAGTATACCATAGGAAAAATGGCAACCAGCAGAGTAGAAAAGCACCCATAACTACACCTAATGTACGTGCTGCTTTACTCTCATGTTTAATTTTTATCTGAGCTTTGTATCGTTCATCTGTGATCTGTATGCATGGTGTACTACTACTATGATTATTATTATTATTATTAGAGCAAAAAGATGAGTTTGTGAGTCGTTTACTTACTGCTGTATAATTTGTACATAGTTTATCTGTTGAGCGACACTTTTTATTCAGAAAATTTAATGGTTTAATTGAGGAGGGTGTTTGTGGCTGCTTTATATTGTTATTATTATTATTATCATTGTTATCAAATTGATGATAGTTGATTTGTAGTCGTGCAATCTTTCTCTCCTGTCTTCTAGCCTCAATAAATATACGTATATAAACAACAACCATAATTACAGACGGGATCCAGAAGGAGATTGATGATGATATTGTAGCATAATAAGGATTTACATTAAAATCGCACGTGAATGGATCATCTACAACATCATTAGTGCTGCCAGCATACTCTTGCTTCATTCCATGTGATGGTGGTGGTGTCATGAATTGAGGTAATTTTGCAAAGGGTTTATGCCAACCAAGTAGGATAGGTATAAAAGATATAAAAAATGATAGAGTCCATGTTAAACACAATAGAATACTGATCCGTTTTTTAGACATTTTGATCTCATAATTCAGTGGATGAATGATAGCAATATAACGATCTGTTGATATACAGCACAAGTGTAGGATACTTGCTGTACTGAAAAGAACATCCGTGGCATTGTATATATCACAGAATAACTTGCCGAAGATCCATTTATGATTTGACAATGACATAATTGCATTGAATGGCATTACCAGCAGGGCTACAATAAAATCAGCTAGTGCCAAAGAGATTAAAAATATATTTGTACGGACACGTCTTAGACGTGTAAAGCGTAGAAATGCAATAAATACTAAGGCATTGCCAAATAATGCTGACATGATAATTACACTGTATATAATACCTTTGATAATAGTGAAAGTTGTATTTACGCCATCAGAATATTGTAGTAATGGTTTGTTATTACTATGACTATCTGAGTTATCTGGACCAGTAGAGTTAGTATTGTGCAGTGAAGGAATTAGTTCTAAACTATTCACTTGTAGTTGAGTAAATAACATTCGACGAACTTGTTTGTGTATAAGTTTGTAAAGTGTATTTAAAAGAATGTGTATGTCTGTATGATGAACAGTGTGCTTCGATGTGACGTTGAATATCGTGATTTATTCATATCTATTTTGGAGGTTTAAAAAAAAAGAAGATAAAAGCCAGTTTAATAAAAACAAACAAGATTTGAATTAAAGCAAAATACAGTTTCTATGGAAGCCAAAATTAACTTCATGAACGGAATGAAAGCTTTCACTGATACGTCTGAAACATAACGGGAAGACACTATGTGATGACGTTTTTAAAATCCATCCTAAATGATTTTGTCAAATCTTATTACATTTTATAACTGCTATCAGGGGACCCTAGAAGCATTGATCTCTCCATCGAAAGGATTTACAATAGGCGACCGCATAAATTCGTTGACAGCTACGAGTTTCAGATAACCGGAAAGGATCAGCATCAAGGGGCTCTGGGGACTAATAAATCTGTAACGTACCACTGGAAAAATGTACAGAAGGAAATGAAGATGGATTGGACATACTCTGAGGATACCATCGAGTAAAGTGTCATGCGATGCTCTCAAGTGCACACTGGGAGGAATTAAGATATAATGGGCAGTCATGAAGCCAGTTAAAAATACTTGCACACAACGGGGTGAAATCGAGATGTGTTGCTGAAGCCTTGCGTTGCATTCCGAACTTTAGGGATTAAAAACAATGACAATAATAACACATGTAATGCTTTCGATGGTATACTGCAACTACAGACGTCTTTTAATTGTTCAGCTGTACAATTGAATTTATATGCAATTTTTCGGTAACAGGGTCTCATCATGAGCTGACATTGGTTAGAGAACCGTTGGATGTCAGCTGACGATGAGTTCCTGTAACCAATCAAATCCCCGCAAAAAAACATGAATACAATTTTCTGATGAAAGAGGACAGTGACAAATTTGATGATGAACTGTCACAAACGGAATCGCTAATGCTGCTTGACGCAAACGACGTGCTGAATAAGTGTATTGTGGTTACTCAATAAGGTAAGTAATATAATGAATGAGTTGTAGTCAGGATGAGCATGGAGAAGAAGGAAAATATGGAATTATTTACAAACTATGCAAGAGTGCTTTTAGGTTAGGAGTTAGAAAACAAACAAACAAACCAAAGTGAAGTCAGCAGAAATCAGCGAGGTTGTAACCATGACAGCGAAAGTGGTTGAATGCATAGATATGCACCAAAAAAGAAACTTTACATGAAGCTCGACTTCAGACATAACCTAGTCAGTGACGTCCTTGAAAAGAGAATTTCGGCTTCTTAAAGCAGAAGCTTCTTCGTAACGATGCTGAGAGTAATGTTCTCAAGTCGCTACTGATGTGCAGAAGCTATTGGGACAAGATCTCACACCTTACAAATTCTGTGAGCAGATATTCGTTCATCTATTCCTGTGGAGCCATATATATTTGTCATACAACACGCACGCATCTTGTCTTAAAGCGTTCAAGAACACTATCCCACCACATTGGTTGCAGAAAGGTAGTCGTGGCAGTACAAGGAGTGCAATAATTGAACACCTTGTTAACACTGGTTATTCCTTGTCAAACAACCTATCCTTCAAAGTAATCGACAAAGTGAAGATTAACTTGCCAGAGGCAGTACGCTTTGCCTCCTTTGCATGCCTGAAGCTTTGGACACTCAGTTAGATAAGCCAAAAGTGTGCATGCAAAATAAAATTATTCAACCACTTCTACTGTCATGGTAACAATCTCGCTGATTTCTTCTCACTTGACTTTGGTTTTTTAGTTTTTGTTTCTTGCATAATTCGTACATAATTCCATATTTAACTTCTTTTCTATGTTCATCTTAACTACAACTCATTCATTATATTATTTACCTTATTGAGTAACTATAATACACTTATTCAGCACGTCTTTTGCGTCGACCAGAATTAACAATTCCGTTTGTGACAGCTCATCATCAAATTTGTCACTATCCCCTTTCATGAAAAAATTGTATATAAATGCGATTGTGCAACTGGAGAGGAAAGTGAATTCGCCGAAAAGTACCTCTTTGCTGAACTTTTTGTTTTGTTCCTATTGATGTTCGCATGCGAAATTTTCATGATACTTTTTATTCCATATCTTGCATTTATTCAATAAGTTATGTTTTTCCAACCATTAGTATACAAAGCGTTAATCGGTATACTAACTTATCAGATGACAGCATCACCTTTTCTGTCGGTTACGTAGCTGCGATACCATGAAGGTAACTGGAGCTGGAGAAACGCTATGAATCAATTTCTTTCTAGCAGAAGATTCCTACGACACTTATAGCCGACAGTAAAATGTGAAATCACACTCTTATTAGAAAACGGTATTATCCTTTGGATATGGACAGATAATTTTATAATTCTCCTAAGTTTGCAGGTCTACAAAGATCGAAATTCTGTATTTTTATTACTTGTAGACAAATGCGTAGATGGTTCCTGCTGTTTACACTTCACCATCAAAACCAAGTTCAGTAGAGTGAAAATCTACTCTGAAAAATGGTGATTTGACCATTTCTAATTCTTTAAACGGATGGTTAGGATAGATTGCTATTGAAGCAAATAGTTTTTATATGTAAATACTAAATATAAATAAGATACCTAACCAACAACAATAAACACTATCGATTGTAGAAATCCGAAAGTGACCATCTTTTTCACTTATCAAGGGAACAACGTTAAGACTAAAGTCAATTAGTACAGCTGAGGATGTTATAGCCAGAATTCGAAAGGCAGGACAAAATCTTCGCTAGTCTGTAATTACTGTGGAAATCTATTGCAATCAGCATGAAGAAGATTCTTATTTTCAACATTTCAAATCGTTGCTTCAAGATAATTCAGAGGGTTGGCACGTGATTTAAAGCATTTCTGAAAGGCTGCAGATCTTCATCAATAGCTACCTTATTTAACACAATACTGAATATCAGATAGCCAGCTACAGTAAGTAAAAAGGAACTCTGATGACAAACCAATCAAGAACTTACTGATCAAAATATTCAGATGAAAATGAAGGCGTATAAGATATGCGATAAGGATACCATCGATTTATAGTACATATCTGGCCCTCGAGAGGAACTTAAATGAAAAACGATGAGTTGGACGTCCTAAGGCAGCACGAATTAGATTGTGTGTGTAGGAGATTAGAATTTACGGGTTTTCGTCAAATAATCTGTAAAGACTTCAGGGAACAGGATCAAATGAAGATGTACTGTCTAAGTTCTATATTCTACTCAAGACTCATTGTACAGTTGTAGTGATGTTTATAATTCCCCTATTAGTAATGTGAATTTTGGTGCTTATTATGTAATTACCAGACGTAGACTAGTGTATTTATGGTAAACACTAAACTACTCATACATATCAGTTAATAAGTTGAAGTGATAGTGTCTGAGAGTCATATACTACGTCAAACTGAAGGTTATAAGTAAACTGTTAATAAAAGCTCTTCAAGAAACATCACCAACAATGAGAATAACTTGTACTCTTGATGAAGAAAGCTGATCAAACTAAAATTTAAGCTGAAAACAATTCTAGGTTGATAAAGGCAAAATGTAAACAAATTTAGTGAAGCCTAATTATTGATGTGGAATGGCAAATCAGTATACGAAGAAAGTAAATATATTTGTATGTTAATTTCATTTTCTTTGTTGGTTAATTGCATAAAAGTAAAGTTGTAAACATTGATTACCAGTAAAGAAGTTCAGTCTAATCTAATTTCTAAGTGTCTATTTTCAATTATAAGTAAAGTAAACAGCTAACTGTTTGTTTAAGTTAATTTCAATTTTCCAATGATTCATTTTTATATACGCTGTACGGAAATATTAGGCCTACGTTGGCATTTTGGCTCCCAATGCAAAGACTTTAACAATATCTGATGTTCGCCTGATAGTAGCTGATAGTGAAATCCTGGATCTTTTCATTTCGGGACCAGCTATCCAGACGTACCCGTATATTTAGGAAACGGGAAGGTTTTCTACTAAGAATCAAACCCTGCATTCGTTGTTTCGAATGCAAAGCATTCTCCACTATACTCGCTGGCTACACAGTTAACATTCAGGACACTGATACGTCAGTACTAAGAGCCAGCATGCTCACAGAGACAGAGCATTATGAAACAACACCGTTATTCAGAAGGAAATTTAATTAAATAATAACTACTAATAAGCTTTTCATAAGAAGTGGGTGTGGTGTCCCGGTGGCATAGTGGATAACACTCTTGCCTTTGAAACAAGTGGTGCCAGATTCAGTTTTTGTTAGGAACATCGCTACCTACTAGTGGTGCAGTTGTATTCCACATGTTGAGTCATATATAAGATTAAATGTCAGCTGTTATCGACTAAATGAAACTCATCCCAGTTCAAAAATTTCAAGAAAACAGTGAGAAGATATAAGTTTTCTAACACGTGCAGTGTAAAAGGAAAAATGTTCAGTAAATTAGGAGTAATTCACGCATAAATGCAAACAATTGCGTAATCATATGAAAAGTTATTCAACCGAACTAATGAACGTCAAGGGTAATAAAGGTATTTTAAAAAATATTAGCAAGGAAATAGATCAGTGAAGTTATTAAATTACATCAATAAAATGAGATGAAATTCCGAGAAGTTAATGCAAAATAGTCAGTTACTACCAGGGTATATGCGAAATACAACAAAACAAACAGAAGATAATACGGGAGTTAACACTTTACTTCAAATGTGTTCACTTTGAAATAGCCTTCAATATCTTCGAACATGATTGCGTCGGTGGCAAAGAGGTAGAATGCTCGCCAACCACGCATATGGTCCTGGTTTAAAGCCTCAGCCGATGAACTGCTTTACCCCACCAAACCAGCAATAAAATCTGGTAGAGAGGTTGCACATAAGGCTAGCAACACCATCCTGGAAAAATAAACAGTGATAGAGAAACTTCAAGCCTCTAGTTTGAAGCCCTATGTTCCACTGGGAACGTGAAGGAATAAAAAAATTCGAATATGAAGTAGTTCGGGAACTGATTCTACGCTAGACAGCCGGAGACATTTAACAACCTCACTACAGTTATGATA